ACTAAGCAATTCTCATAACAAACAGACGGTGACCGAACTCACGAAATATCAACCGAAATTCCGAAAAGCCCTTTCAGTTGGGAAGGAATACCTAAGTGTGGTTGAAATTTAGATTATCGCACAGCAAAATCCCAATATATTTCAACCATGCCGGTTTTTGAATGTAGCCCTTTCTAGCTACCTGTAGAAACAATGCTGACTTGAAAAGCATGCATTTTTGAAATTGATTTTCGATGTAATCACAGTTACAAATACGCTCTGTAGAAAACAAGCATAAAAGGATGCATTCTAGTAGTCGTTTGGTAGTCAATCATGTCTTCTTCCAATTTTATACTCAAAGAAAGGCTATCTTTCGGCTTTTAAAAAGTGTCTAACTACGAGATATGTTAAGACTATAAAATTCTCCCATTCTAAGCGCATTGTATCTGTCCCCTTATCAATACACCTCGGGAAGCACGCAAGATAATATACACGCATTACAACATTTTTTTCAGCAACATATACTATTTTTTCAATGCCGTAGAGGAGTGTGAAGGAATTCCTCCTCGTGATTCGATCGTTTGAAGGAAAAAAAGGGGTACGACTACACATAATTGGACCGACTTAAGTGCTAAAAAACATTCCAGAAACCGGGTTGTTATGGTGAGGCAAAAAGTGTACTGAACGGCGGCGACCCAGTTAACAAAAACACTAACCTCGCAGACGAGAGTGAGGCGATCGTTGGGCAACAGTCCACTGGCCTCGTCCATTAGCACGTCCCGACGGATGAACTTTTTGAAGCCCCAATCCTTGCCCTGCACGAAACGATAGGCCCGTTGGCTTTCTAAGAGGAAGGATAAAAAACAGTGATGTAATACAGGTCTCAGTGACTGTGTCCACACATTGCGTCTTCTACAGCTTCGATTACTAACCCCACCACCTACCCCCTTCTCCACAGTCCCGGACTGGGCAGGTAATTGTTTAATAGCAATCAAGCTCTGCATTCGGATGGGTTTTCTGTTACCTATTATCTTATTAGTCAATTTCTTTTCGTCTCTCCCTCAGCTTGTGGTCGCTAAATTCGCTCACTTTCTCCTCAAATACCCATGCATCGGTGTCAACGTACAGGACTGCTAGTTTCCAGCATTTTCTGTCAACTATATTGTGTTTTGATGGTATGATTACGTCATTATTAATTATTCGAATCGACCTGTCATCCGACACAGCCTTTAGCTTCGGAGGTGTTAGCTCCTATGAAGAAAGTGGCATTTCACCAAACTGTAGAGGGCGCGTAGTAACAACCTACCCATGGCCTTTGTCTCCTCCCGTTTGGCATTTA